TCTCTTAGATGTAAGAAAAATCATTATGATCAAGAGTAGTTACATTTCATTGGAATCCCATATTTTTTAAATGTTATATATTTGTATCATGGCTGTTGTAGCATATTATTTAAATAACTACCATCTTGTAAGTAGAGAAGAAGAAAAACCTGGTGGAGAAATAAGTATGTCAATGAACTTTCATTCATCAATTCGATATATTTTTATTGAAAAATTTATGTAAAATAGTTATAATTCATTATTTTCTTTGTATCAGTATCTATCTTTTAATACATATACAAAGAAGAGAAGCATTGAATAAATTATTTAATGCTTTACACATATGATATATTAAAGTGTAAATTCAAACCTTGAGCATATCTCTTGGTAAAATAGCATAGTTTGAACTCAGATTTATATATCTGTGTTTTTTTAATCGTACACGACATAAATACACATTGGAATAATTAATTAATTAATAATTAATTAAAACAAATATTAAAAGCGGGTAACTTTTCTTTGTAGCAATATTAATAGATACTTGTTACATAAAACCAATTTGAATTCATCGTCATAATAAAAATAATTTTTGTTTTGACTCTTTAAGATAAATAAAAAAAAGTCAAATAAAAGAATAAAGAAATTTTTAAACAAATTAAATATAAAAAAAAACCCTTTTACAAAAGCATGTATTTTTTTATTTAATTTTTACTTTATAATCGAACAGCATTCCTAAGAAAATTTCAGTGCTAAGATTTGTAAAAGGAATATTTAGAAAGAAGCGAGATTAAGCGTTGTAATTTGTTAAGTAATTTACACTTAGAATGCGGTTCCAAATCTTTGCCAGCGAATTCTATGGGACTTTCTATCTTTTCTGTGATATTCAAAGATAGGAGGGGATGGCATGAAAGGGGCGTTCCGCCATGCAACCTCGGAATATGGCTAATGCGTCTCTGCTCCGACGTCTTTCCTCTTGCCCTCTCTTCTCGGACCTCGGTAAAATAACTGCTAAAAATGGTAAGAGATAAGTTCTTTATAAGATATTTACTAAAATATAATCTACAAGTAAATAAATAATTATCATCTAAAATTAAAATCAATTGTGTAATTAATCGTTAACGAACGAACATGATTAAAAGTCATTGATCCACTTATGCAGCGATATAAGTAAATTTTAACTTATATAATTTCATTATAAAAATATATAATTTATCTCTTATATTATAACAATATTATGATATATGAGGATAAATTTTTTTTTTATTATTAGAAATAAAATCTTCCCTGCTCTATTTTATACTCTTCTAAGGAGTGAACAAGGTAAATGTACGTGACATTTCCTCATACATTATTCAAAATTTATCCATAGAAACGAAAAAAAGAAAACAAATTAAAAGTAAGGGACGGCGACGCTCGACATCGGATAGCGCAGAAGCATGAAGCGTGCGACGCGACGCGTCGTGGAGACATGAGAGAAGCCGACAGGGGCTAGGGGTCTGTGAGCTATTTGTACACCGAATGGAAAACGCGCTTCGGCTCGCCTCCAGACGAAAGGAATATGCTGGATCGAGAAAACGGGACCTTTTCTTAATTATCACGTTCCACTCTATATATTTTCCTTTTTTCCTATATTCCATCCCAAGTAAAAAAGATTCCATTGTCGAGAGAAAAGAAGAAAGGTTTAAAATATGGGTGAACAATCGAAACGAATTGTAATCGATGCCAAAATCAAATTGTGATAATGAATAAAAATAAAAAAGCTTAAATTTAAGTTTGAATATTTAAATTTAGATATTTTAATTAAATTGTTACAATTTTTTTTAAAATAATCTAAGTAATTTTGACAAAAAAAAAAAAAAAAACAATTCTCTCATCTGATCATATTTTTTTTAAAGTATCGCAATAGTTTTAGATTTCTCAAAGTATGAAAAAATTGTTCCATCATACCATACCAGTTACTTTACCTCGTTTTCGGGAAATTGCGCGGTTCTGACGTCTGATACCGCATCTTTTCAACCACATCGAAATCTCGGCTCATTAATCATGCTTGTACTCTTTTAATACATTCTATTCTATTCTAAGCAGAGGCAGAGTCTGTTCCTTCGCAGAGGGTTTATTTAACCGTTAATTTATTAGCGTATCTTCGTCATGGCGTAGCTCGTAATCGAGCGCGACGGGGTTCGCGAGCACAGCGTGCCGCGGAAGCAAACATTTGCTACCAGAAGTCGCCGTATTTTAAACGGAGAAGGGTTGTAACAGGCACAATGGCCGAGAACACCTTTATCTCACGGTTGAATTCTCATCTTTGCTGGAAAACCGTTGACGTCTATTTGCCGTGGAAATTTATACGTCCATTCACGGCCAATGTCCACTCCTCTGATATTAGAAGCTGAACAATTTGATGAAGTTTGTAAGTAACGAAATACATTCGAAATAAATTATATCCATCTATCGTTTTTATGAACTTACTTCAATTTTAATTAATAGTTCCATCCAATAATATTATTATACTTCCTTTTCCTTCTTTTCGGAAAGGATGATTGACTTACGATGATTTTTTCAGAAAGGAGGAATTACGACGATGAAAAGAGCTCGTTCTTCCTTTCTTTCTCGCTTAATAAGAGCGACGTTAATGAGAACATGGAAAACCGACACGGAACGAGAAGAAGTCGGTTCCAAAGAAATCGGTTCCCGTGAGTAGGTTTTGTCGCTCCTTTGACTAGGGAGTAATAGAGTTCCAGGGCGGAGTATCTTACCGCAGAATGGGGAAAGGGGATATTCGTATTTCAAAGGGACAAACCGTTGTGCCGCAACGGTGTTCATTATGTTGTACACGACTAAACGTCACGAGAAAAAACACGGTTGTAACGCGTACGTCATCACCAGAGCTGATGAACTAGCAAGTTTTACGCGGTTATATCACTTATCGGGTTATTATCGCTTTGAAAGATGAAGACGACGGATTCAAGAAAGGATTAAAGAATTGTTTTTATTTAATAGGATATAATATTGATTTTACGATACGACGAATTTTTATAGAAATGGCGTCTGAGCAGTGTTTAATATCATCTTCCATTGGAAAAACTATCATTGGTTATTTTGGCTGAGACCCGTGATGCTTGAAACGCCGAGTGGGTGTCTAATTTCGTCGAAGAGGAGGGATTTCACGCTCGATCAACGCTGATTGGACAGCGCCGGTCCGTTTGCTTTTATAACTCGGTGCTTTCATACATGCGCGCGCGCGAACGATTGCTTACACAAAAGGCAGCAACACGCGTGCTATTATTTACTCCTTTATCGAATAACAACTTGAAAATTAATAGAAAGTATAACATTTATTATTATTTCATTAATAGAAAGTATACGTACATAACATTTATTATTATTTCATTATAACTCTTGTATACAACTATCCGATTACTCTTTTCTCGAACAATATTACCGATCTTTCAATTGAAATTGAACAGAGGAAATAAGTTACGTAATAATTATTTCATTAATTGAAATTTAACTAATATTAGTTAAAGGAGTTGTGACCGTTATACTTTCTTCGAGGAATCATTGTTTCTGTGAAAAACAAGAGGAGGAACGATTTATTTATTAAGTTGTAAGCTGCTTGTACGAGTTAAGAACGATATCGTAGCTCATTAAACATTGCACGCGCATTATCTTCGGTTACAGAGAAACGCTCTTGATTATTCGGAATGGAAGCATCAATCAAGCAGTCCAAGTTATCGGCAGTTACGCGTGAATATAATATTAAGACATTTAACAAGAATACGTAAATGTCTAACTGTGTAACGGACAATAAATTCTATCCATCGTGTCAGCTACTTTTTATTTTACATTTTACGACTATTCTCATTTTTCTAGATACGATTCCACGCGTTTTTTCATTCGTCGCTGGTCCGAAGTCGACAAAGAAAAATCGATGAAACGACGATTGGAAATTATCTTCTTTGCTGCAAAAGCCTCGATAATAAATGTAAGATACCGTTTCAAACAATTAAACTTCGATTTTAATTTCAATTTGAACACATTTGAACACTTGAATATAAATTTAAATTGGAAACTTTGTATTTGATTTCGAATCGAAGCAATTGAATCGATCAAATATTGAAAATACAATTCAATTATTAAAACTTAGATTGTTCCTTTTTTTCCGCGATGGTTTCTTAATGATGATTTCTCAAGTATTGCGTCGACCGTTTCTGGAGCGTCGATCAAACTGAATACATAGCTTGTGCTTCGATCGATTGGAAATTAGCGATTACACGAGCGCATGGACAACTAAATCCCGATAATTTTTCTGGTTTTTCTTTACTTCTGGATCGTTGCTCCTCAAATGGGCTTTCCTTTTGCTTCATGGAACTCTTAGTAATTACAAAGATCACCGCAATAGATTAACTTCAACTGAAATACGGTTTATATTATCGACTTTTCTGTTTATTCAATTAATAAAATCGTAAAAATCGTATAAATTTGATTCCCTAGTTTAAAATCTTGATAGAAAATTATAATATTGATACAAATAATTCAACAAATAAAATTCTTCTTTGATTTCTATTTCTAATCGAACGAATAACGATCATGCTTTATTGTTTTATTCGTAAGAAACAGAAATGTATTTGAAAGACGTGCCAGAAAAGAACGAAAATGTAGAGAATAACTAAAGTTATATTTTTGAGTTATTCATCGTGCCAATTGAGTCACGAGCTAGGAAATATATTAATGTTGAATGCGAAAAAATTTTAATCAATTATAGCGATGGCCACGCAAAAATCAGATTGTTTATATATATTATATTTTAAAAAGCTTAATTTATATAATTCTTATCTTATAATTACCTGTTTGTCGTCGCTTTGAGATTCTCATCATCTTGATCTCGAAGAATTTGAACGACGATGGTAGAAAGAAACACAATTTTGTTGTTTAACTTGGAGGAAAATATATATATTTCCCAATGACAAAAATTGCATTTCATAAAAAAAGCATAGCAGAAGACTATAGTTGTCCTACAATCGCGATACGATTGTACAAATTTATCAATTAAATAACATCGATAACGTCCCGCCGAATCGTCAAAGAACTTTTTAACGTTTTTTCGATCTCGCTTGGCTGGGAATCAATGATTCTTTCTTTAACGATTATTATATCATTAAATATACGCAAAGATCGAACAAACATACAAAAAGGAAAAACGAGCTAAAGGATTACTCCTTGAAATGAACTAGAAAAAGGTGTTCGACGAGTAACGTGAATATCCTTTGAAAAAGTTTCAACAATCTCGATTATCTTCTCTCACAGTCCGTTACGAATACATAACAAAACAGTACAAATTACTTTTCTTTATGGCACTCAAGAAAAGGCACTCTTGGCAAAATGACGATAAAAATATATAATACTGGTGAGATGATGTATCGTTTTCGCCCAGGCCAGTTACACATCCCATATTTATTTCTATATTTTTCTCTAACTTGTCTTTACTCTCACAATCACTCGATAATTTCGATCTTTCTTTTTCTTAATTACATATTGATTACAAATTTAATCGGTATACTCGTATTCAATTCTAGGTGCAATCACTAGGTTTATTCCACAATCCAACGATATCTTAGTCCTTCCACCACTCGCGTTTCATCATTCTAACTATACATAATTTCATTATAAATTCGTTCGAATAATTTCAATTACAAGGACTAGCCGGTTGACTGTTGGTCGTTGATGATTGCATCATGATCGACTGTACGGTGAGCACCGGTGACGTGGTCGCCACCGGAGTCACGCTGTCCGAATGATGATGATGATGATGATGGTACAGAGCCGACGCGTAATACTGCTGATGATGGTGATGATGGTGATGCGGATGATGGTAGCCGCTGGTCTCCTCGTTGTTATTGTTGCTGGCAGCGTTGTCGTTGCTCTGATGATGATGATGATGATGGTGACCGTGGTGGTGATTATTGTTAATGGTCGCGCACAGCGGAGAAGTCGGCGAGGGGGACGATTGGGAATTGGTCAAGTTGCAACCGGTGGCCAAAATGTCGTGAACCGTGTGAGGACTGGGCCACTGTAAACCGGCGGAAGTGGCCGTCTGATGGCCTATACTGGCGTGAATCGTGGTCGGAGACGATGGTGACAGCTTGCCAGGCGTCGTCGGCCCAACTGGAAACGCACCGGTACCAAATTGGTAGGGAGAGGTTCGTTCGAATTCGATTATTCAGTGCTCGTATCAGGATGGAAGAAAGAGACGCGACTGTTGCCTTATATCCCGCGAGCTTGCCGCTAGAACTGAACGCACAAGTTCAAGTTGCAGTTGGTAGAAAACGAGTTGTTCTTTTTGGGCGGGTCTCGTTTTGCGTTTCCTCTCTGTCGTTCCGAGAGAGAGAGAGAGAGAGAGAGAGAAGAGAGAGACACGAGCAGAGAGGAGGTGTATATCTACTGTTCTTCCACCAATTTGTCACGTACCGTATTGTTCGTGGTAGGTTGGCGTTTCGAGCAAGAACTTTCTCAATACTAATCACAAATTAATAGAATCGACGATTAGGTTCTCTCGAAAATGAGTTTTCTTCGATGTGAAAACTTTGAAAAATGTGAAAAGCTCTCGCTCGAAGAAGAAGAACAAGATCGAGCGTGATCGTTGATTTTATTACCAACCTTGATGATGATGATGATGATGATGATGCGTTACAGCGGGTGGCGGCGTCGCGTGATAAGGCGTCGGTGGATAGGGGACGGGACAAAGGGCGGCCCCGGCAGCGGCCGCAGCTGCGTATAAATGATGATGATGGTGATGATGCGCCGGGTGATGGGGATGGTGATGGATCGCGGTCGCCGCGCCAACTTTGTTCCTCAATATCCTCGAGATGCTGCTCACCGATGGAACGTTGTACTTGTCGCACACCCCATCGGACAGTAACCGATCCCTGATCTCCCAGGCGAAGATACCCGGATCCTTCAGCTTCAATTGCTTAATATACTGGACAACTTTGGGGGTAGTTACCCGGGGTTTGCTTCCCCCGATAGCGCCGGGCAGTATGCTGCCTGTCTCGTGGTAACGGGCCAAAATTTTGCTGACGCAGCCATGGCTGACCCGCAGCTGCCGCGAGATGTCGCACGGCCTGATGCCCAGCTGTGCAAGCTCCACTATTCGCAATCTGACCGCGTTCGGCAACGGTCGGCCATTCACGAACACACCCCCTAGTTGGTTCACCTCGCCGTATTGTTGTTGCTGTTGTTGCTGATGGGGTTGCTGCTGCTGTTGCTGTTGCTGATCTGCACCGAGTTCGCTCGCGTTACTCTCTGTCCGTAAAGAATGCCGAACGGTGGATTAGGTTTCTCGATATTAGTAGATATTAGACGAAGAATGAATTGGAAGCAGTCGAAGAAGAAAAAATGGTCGGGGCTTGGGTTAGTCTTTTTTTTTATAGACGTGGTTGATTACAGCGCGACCCTCTGGGGTCCATAAAATTCTTAATAAATTTCGGTCTCATTCGATCTTTCTTTTTAGGGACACGTGACACCCTGATTTTCGATTTCGTGGTTTGCGGGGCGACTTCGGAGAGGCAGAGGGAGAGAGGAGAGAAGCAAAAAGATATCGATCTAAAAAAATTCGTCTCGTGGGGGAAAGCATAAATTTTAAGGATTAGTTGGAACGTAAAACGAGCGAGTAATCTCGCGTCGATTCGACGGGCTAGGCTACTAAATAACGCGACGATAATATACTTCGCATCGGAACTTACACCTGGCGCTAGGGTTCGTTTTAATGAGATGCAGATGTATGTCGCTTGCTCGCTCCTACTCGGTTGAGCACGGCTGTAACAACCCTTAATTAGCGAAGCAATGCCCTAGCAATTGCCTCTAACTGCGTTCCAAACCCACCTAAATTCCGTTTGCCGGTATGAAAAGACAACAAGCCGTTACGAGAATAATAAGGAGTCTATCTTTAACTCGAGAACGATGGTCGTGCGTTGTTCCGGCTCAGCGACCACGTTAAATTTCTATTGTCCGAGAAAACGAGAATTATAGAATTTTTCACACGGAAAAATATTCAAAATGATTCTACGAGATTTAACGATCGACAAATAAAAATCCAAGAATTTAATCCATTCATCGCGCGAACAGATGCTTCGATGCTTAAAAATCTCGATGCGTTAACGTCTTCCAGATCTTTTGATGTCGAGAAAAGATCGAATTCTCGTATCTCTCTTTTTTGCATCTATTTGAAGAGGGTCGAAGTGGAAATAGTGGAACGGATATCCGTGAAGGAAGTACGAAGATGTCTCCCGAGGAACGCGAGTTTCCCATCCGCGGAAGGGGAGAAATTTATGTGGCTCTCCCGTTTCTCTCCCTTCGGTTACGTCGGTTTCCATTCCCTTCTCATCGTTTCTCCTTTCTGTCCGCGAAGCGGCAGGCCGACGTATGTACGCATTACGGAGAAGAGGAATAAATAAGAAAACCGCGGCGGAAAGGAGGGCCCTACGATGCCTCCGTGATTCCTGGAAGAAGAGTTTCGTCGCCGACGCCGCCGACCGTAGAGACGTGTTTTTGCGCGGCCACCGGCCACCATTTTTTTCTCCGTCCCCTTTTTCGACATCCCCTCGGTCTTTCTGTAATGGCGGCTTCTTGGCAGAGGCGCGAAACACGCGCCCTTTACGCCACATTTCAACCATCAACGGTGTATCGATGCGAGGGAAGCTCGCCTCTTTGAAGTCGCGACGATCGAAATAATTTCGTTCGTACTCCTTTTTTTTCTTCATTTTTTCTAATTATTGTATATAATACGAAGATAGGGGATGTTTCGATGCCAAGAAGATTTGAGAATTCTTTGTCATCTTGATAAATTTGATTAATACAATTTAATTAGCTTCGAATCGTTATATTTTTTTAATTTTCACAGATAGAAGATTTTTCAATTTATCCATATCGGCGATTTATATAAATATTTGCTTAAAAATTAGTCGAGAACGATAGCAGAAGAAAAGGTTAAATCGAAAAAGTTTCAATTGGAAGTCAAACGACGAGGCGGTTTTCCAAGAATCACCCCGCTAAAAGGAGCAGGTTTTTCAGCGGATCGCCGATTCGTGGAACGACCCCGACGTGGCCCGTTAAACTCCAACGATTTGGACTTAATGACCCGCGTTACATTAAAACTCCGTCTTTTTGCCGGCGAACCGTTCGATCGCGAAGGAGTAGCGCGGGCTCGTTAAACGGGAGACAAGCCCCGTAGTTTATGCCTGCCTCTTGTCGGCTCTCTTATATAGATAAGTAATTAATGAGGGGATAAACCGCTTGCATGATAGATTTATAATTACGACGAATTTCCTTACTTTCCAGGAGCATCTATCTATCTGTCGAGTCGCTTTTACAACACCTTGCGAATCGCGATATAGCGCATGAATAAAATTGTGAAAATTTTGATCAATTTTGTTCCAAACGATAACTTCGAATTACAAGAATTACAATTGCATTGAAATGGTAAGATATAAAAAATTAAAGATAACATTTTTATCAACGAGATATTTATCTCAAACGATTATTTTCTCGATTCTCCATTGATTTCTATTGGGATAAATATCTTTTTCCCGTTTTCTTTTTTAAATATATTTCAAACCAAATATTTTTTTCTGTCCCACAGGTATTAATCTCTTCTGGTCTTAAACGGACCTAACTCTAGAAATCCAATAAGGGTCGGCAATAAATTCTCAGCGATATAGGTTTCTCCCCAAGTTTCCCAACTCGTAAACCCTCTCGATAACAGGAACGAAAACATATTAATACGACGAGACAGATATACATCCATGGAACAATGAAAAATTCGAACAAGTTGCGGATAAGACAAAAAGCAAGGATGTCCCGAACGGGGAAGAGATCTTCCTCCGGTGCGGAGCATGTGTGCGCATGCATACATGCGCGTGCACCGTTCATCCTCCTCCTCTTCGGTGGATACGTGTATTACACGCGTGTAAAATGACTACACGCGTCGGACCCTTTGATCTCGCCCATTCATCACCGCGTGGCGGAGAAAAAGTCTAATAATATTGCGTGCACCGCGACGTTCACGCGCGTACACGCGCGTGAAATAGCCAGATCGCCGGTTCCACGTGACGATTCGCAAACGTATGGGTCCACTCGATCTTCCTCGATTCTCGAAAAGATACGAGAAATTCGCGCGGACGGAAAGAAGAGGGATGAAAGGGGAAGAATGTGGAACGAGGAGAATTTCGAGCGAATTTCAACGAAACTCACTGTTAACGTAGGTTAACAGACGAATTTATAGCAACAATAGCGGATTATATTGGAGAAACGATGGAAGTCGAATACACGATCGAAATTGATAGCGCGAAAATATTTTTGTGACAGTTGCGAGTGTTCGGCCGACTGTCGGCGATCAATTTAATCAAACATGGCGCGGACGAAAGATACGTTATATTCAAACATAATCGTTCTTCTCGAAACAGCTCACGCTAATAAATACAAGTCGATTCGTCTGGTTCAATTTATATCAATTTATAGTTATAACAGTTTCGAGGGAGCGCGTTATTCGCGTAAACGATCCTCCAATTATTTTTCGGTGGCGCATGTTCCTTCTTCATCAAGGGATTAAGAAGAAGACGATAAAAAGCAGGGAACCGTGGCGGAGGGGGGAGCAACGGCTAATTTGGTAGCTGGAAATTTGCGAAAACGATACCGGGGAGGCGGAACAAATTGTCGAGGATAAAAGGACGAGCAAAAATTGCCCCTGTTGGTATAAGTAGAAAAGTTGAACGGCGAACGCGCGAGTCCGTGATGTGGGCGTATACCGGACGAGTGATGGATGTCAGTGTCACCCTCGAAAACACGTGTTCCGCTTACATAGATGCCCGAAACGCGACCAGTGTTTGTCTACCATTCTCACTCGCTAATTATCGACCCCTGTGCTGCCTCTCTTTGTCGGCCACCGGCTCCGCTTTTATAGAAACGGATCTTTTCGTTTAATTTCCTCGTGGCTCTCCCGGCCGAGAGCACATGTCACTGATTAGTCCGCCCCAACGCCGGAGATTAAAGCTCTTTAATTTTCCAGCGCGAACGTGGAACAAGTTGAAAGCACGATTCGAAGAAAGCACGATCTCTGCCTCGAAATCCACGCGTAGCGTTCGGTGAATTGAATCAACGAAATGATGGTTGACAGGCTGGACTCGCGTAGCCAGTTTCGATTCACGAAATCGTATCGCGGAATGAAAATTATCTCGAATTGCAGCGTGAATATTGGTTATATATGATTATAATCGAAATAGCTAGCGAAATACCAAGTGAACGCACGAGTTTAGATTTATAAACACGTGTAAATGTTATATCCTGCGGACGTTTAAAATAGTCCTGTCATGTTTCATCATTATTTCCAGCGGTTTCATAACCTGGGTACTGGCCAAACGATGTTAACACGAAAAGAATCCGAATAATTTGGATTGAGTAATCTGGCAAAGCTGGTAGTCTTAATCGAATTGTTTATCGCGCTCTATCCGAGAGACACGCATGAAGTTGTTACAGTGCAAATATAGTAGTAAATCATCCCACGTTATCGCGAGCGGTAAATTGACTCACGAAATATATTTTTCGCGAACTCTTGAGGAAAGAATTGTCGTAGACATCGAAAGAATTTTCGAAATTTTTTCCTACATTATCACATCTATTTATAAGCGTGAAATTTATGCAACCCGATGCAGTAGGAAATTAATTATACGTTAATCGCGGTATTTTTCACGATAACCCCAATGCTTGACCCCATCGAACATAGTTTCATCATAGCTCTTCGGATTTCTAGACGCGTATGTTGAGCAACTCAATTAAGATGATTTTCAATCGCGAATCGAATCACTCTGTTTTGTAATAAAACATGATACCTATAATTAATTTTTTGGAAAAATCATGGCTTCGTCAAAGCGATGCTTCTTTGTTGGTTTATGTTCCTCGTAAATGTCCACCCCTTTTGAGCTTGAATTACCAACCCATAGTTGACTACTCTGATCGTTTAACGAGCGATTCGAAACACGATCTTTTAAATAAACGAGTCCACTCGTAACTTGTTCCTTATTCGTGGTATAAATTATTTATTTATTAGAATAGACGCTTGAAAGGATCGGATCTACAATTTCCCACGCGAATTTCCAATCTTCCTTTTTCCTTTCCCTCGGAGAGACCGTACCTTTCTTCGTGCAACCTAAAATACACCCGTGCAAAATTTATCTCGCACACGCGTGTGCGTGAGCCCGTCTCACATCTGGAATACGCGATGACAGTGGGACCGAAATATATTCGATCGACGAACAAAAAACGCGCACCGTCGAAATTTACGTTCCCTTTTTTCCCTTAGATCTTTTAACCGGTTAACTTGATATTTCTTAATAATAAACTCAAACATTATTCAATATCCTTTGGCAATAATAAATCGATAAAAATAAGAACCTAACCTGTTTTTGGAATTATTAAAAAAAATAAAATTCCCCTTTCTGGAATTAACGTTAACATTCCATTTCCAATATATCCTTCAACGATATCTATTCAAACCTCGGAAAAACAGGATCAAGAGAGAGTTAAGATCCCGTGGAGAAGAGCGCTAAGATGAATACCGAAGTAAACGAACGGCAAGCCATAATTGAAAGCATCTTCTGTGCCGAGACGAAAATTGCTACTCGACTCTGAAACGCTATAGAGTCGCGACAGGTTTTTGGGATGGGCTATTAGAAGAATCTCCTGTGGCGGACCGCCAGGATTTTGAATCACGAGACGGGTATGCAAAACTTCACGTCCAAATCGTGCAAGTAATAACTTGTCAACGATACATCGTTTCGCCTTACGATCGTTCACGTTGTTTGTAAGTGACTATATACCGCATCTAATAGTCCATACGATACTTTCCATCTTGCCATATCCAAATCGCTGTGCAATTACATTTTAATACGTGTTTTCAATACGTGTTCGAAGATGAACACAACTTTTTGCATCTTTTTATTTTTTTTTTATCTTCTTCTTCGTTCATTTCTTCGTATTTCCTGAATTCCTGAATTAGAAATTTCTTACCGATCTTTCGTGCTAATAGTTGTTCGGTCAATGTTGTACAGCTTCCAAAAATATGAAGCCGATAAAGGCGCATCGAAGTGTTGCTTAACTGAACTATAAAAAATTATTATCGTTTCTTACGTTTTCTGGTAATCTACTTATTACGTACTTCGCGATATCGTGTCAAACTGCTTAAATTAGCTTTCGCGTTCTCTAAAAATTAAGATAAAGGTAATTTTAATATTTTCAGATAATCGCTGTATCTAATATAATTGTTTTAAATTACATAGAAAAAAAAAAATAAAACGATCCAGTATTTTATTCGACAAAGTGAAAAACATTCGATAAACATTGTTATACCTGATTGTTTTTACGTTTACGCAAAGAAATAAAACGTTCCATTATTTTACTCCATAACATGAAAAACGTTCAAAGTGTTTAAAAGATTTTCAAAGAATTTTCAAATCCTCCCATAGAGGACCGAAATCGTTGGAAACAATTTCTCTGAGAGGAAGTCGCAAACAAACGATCCCTAGGTAGCTCTCAGGAGAACTCCAGAAGCTAGTACAACTATTTGAACAATCCTCTGTCAACTGGACCCTTTAAAAGCTAGTTTCCTTGTTTAACTAGAACAAACGGTACTAATTGAACGCTAATGAATCTGTAACCGCATGTTTCCTGACAATGTCAATATAATTTCGAAGACTTCGCCTGAATCTTTCCACTCTAGATACAATCTGGTTTTCCATTTTAAACTTCAAAAACAAAGAGCATTCTTTTATTATCCAAATCGTTTCATCATCTGTAGCAACATTATAATCACTAGCTAATTAAAACAAATGACGTTTCACAATTAATTTCATAAATTCTAAATCGTCTCATTATTTCATTTATCTGTGTGTGAAACACTTGTCCATCTATCAATATTTATTATTATCTATTATCATTATATGCATTATCAATTATCTATCTATTTATTAATCGGTTTATCGTGTAAGATATCCAAATTCTTTTCAACTTACACGTTTAATAATTAAACATCATCCAACGTATTAATCGGTTAATTATTCTCCGATAACACGTTACACATTACGAGCACTGTTAAACACGATTGATGAATTTCAACATTGTCTGCACGATAGTTTTGCGAAATGGCTTCGCAAAATAACAAAGAACCGTTTAATCGTTCTTCTTTACGAATGTGTCGTGACAAATTTTTATTGTCCATCCAATCTCACCCACGTATATACTCGGTTTAAAGAAATACTCTCGGGTATTATCTATGGAATATGTTTCCAATGTATCGCGTTACATATCGAGGTCTTGAACCGTGCATACGGCTACGGGTGTATTGGTGTCAATGACTTCAGAGACTGTCAACGTCATTGGAGAAAAAACCAGAGCCCGATAAATACTGGCGTTTTAAATCACGGACACCACCTCGGTTTCGATCATTTTTCTTTCCGATTATTCCTTGCGAAAATTCATCGATTTTCGCTGGCCATGATGATTCATAACGTTAATTTTAATTCGTTTAATGATATCCAACATAGTGAATAAAATTTCAATTGGATTTATTTTTCAATCGAAAAAAATAGATTTTTTCGAATAGTAGCGAGATATCATAAGGTAAATAATTGTACGAGGTTTTCGAGTTATTTGTTTAATGAATACGAGATATCACATGTCTACTGTGGAAAATTGTTGCAAGGATAATGTTAGATCTAGGTCATCGGTAATGTTTTACGCGTCACAATAAACGTAGAACGTCGAGATTTATGATCCTACATTACCAAAATATAGGTCATTATGCGCTCGCTTCATTATCATTGATTGAATGTGTCATTTTCCGATTATCGTTCTCATTCTTCCAGTTAACTATATTCTGATTTATATAATAGAACATTTCGAAATACACACACCTTTCTTTCTGTTTAAAAAAAATTCCTAAAGATAAAAAAAGGGTTAATCGAGGAAAAGTTAGGAAGGAGTTATGATAACATATATTACACCAAATTCTCGCCGTATTTCCAAACATCGTGGCAACAGAAATACGCAGTTGGCTGGAGGTTCATCGGTATCTGATGGCACAGATTATACCCCTCGAGAAGCGTCTGCGAAACAGTCTCGTTAGAACGGTCCACTTCGATATTCGTCAAGCCAGAAAACGTTGCTGACATAATTATTAAACGACCAGCCTTGTGTACGGTTGCTACGACTGCTCGAGAGTTTCAGAAGGCGAGAAAAAAGAAGATCGAAAGCAGGGCGATAAGGAACCGAGGAGGGCATCCGGGACCAGCAAGGTCAAAGGTTGCTGGAGAAATGAGTACAGTAATATACTTTCTATGAATGGAACGATTCGTAACCGTTTATACCACGCGAATTATTCCATTATTTGTCAATGTTTCTTTAAATTGTTTGCGCTTGAAATGATCTATTCGATGTATAATTCACACGATCAAATGCTCGAAATATTTTGTTCGATAATAATGATGAACGTCGTTTGTCGATAAAAAAAAAATTGATAAAAGAGATTTAGCTAATAACGATTATAAACAAAAAATTGGAAGGGCGCGAATGCGTGCACGATGGTTTAAGTGAGCTCGTGTTGGTGGACAGATTGCGGCAACCTATTTCACTATCATCCGCGATTTGCGCGAAATTAATAAATGGCGAGCGACGGCGCCACATCAAGATACAACCAAACGCCACGTCTCATTTAATTATAAATTCAATTAGGTCGAAGTTGATTGACATGTCCACACACGTCGCGCACCATCGAGACTCGATCTATCCATTTCGCACAACAATTCGGAGAAGAACGAGAAAATTTAAAAGACGAAAAAAATTCATGTCGTCGACATGAATGTTTGCAAGAAAATTGTATGTTCATATACGCATATTAGCTCCTATTAATTATTTAATTATTTCGAGATTTTATTATAAATAAGACGAGAATAATTCTATTAATTGATTTGTATGATTAACGTGACACTAATTTCAATTATCGACACATGGAAAAAGGAAATATTAAGATTGATAAAAGAATTCTATTGTATTTATTGTTTCTATATAATAATTTATAACGAATAGAATATAATAACATTACATGTAATAAATTTATGAAGTTTTTAGACAAATTTTCAATTCTGATTTATATTAATCTTCTAGTTTTTTTTTTTTGATATATCATTCAACAATTCTTCTTCGACTGTTTCAACAATAATAACGAAAAATAAATTATCAAAAAAGAATGATGAAAAAATTTAGATTATACAGTTATAACTTCATCATTATATGATGTATACATAGAGACGATTTCTCACCTAACACGATGGGATCCATCAGGAAGAGCAGCCTTGCATCCGTCGGCTACATGCAACGCAGTTCCTCCGGTTCTTCTGCAAACTTTACTCCGTTCAATACAACTTTTCTTTACTTTACTTAACCTATCTAAATTAATTTCTTGATTTACTTATTGTCTTTCGATTTATCGATCTTAGAAATATCTTTCAATGTTTATCAAATAACCTTATCTCATCTGCACTCTATTCTGCACCATACACCACCGTGTTCTTTCAATTACTAGCATCTCTTTTCGTTTCACATTTTTTATTGTACATACATGTAACGTAACATTCCGCCATTCATTTTATAAGATTTTTCGATACTGGACATACGTATCGAGCGGAAATGAAATATTAATTCAATTGGAGAAACATCAATAAATCACTTAGCACAGCTGCAACGAGCGGAAAAATAATCGACCATCCACAGTGCTTCATTCATGCGAAAAAGGCGCGTGAGCCAGGTAAAAGATGGAGAACACTAGAAGATCGAATGGTAGCGTGAAGAGCATGAAGAACTTAAACGTTCCACGCCGCCTTCCTTCGTCGTCCTTCATTCACGCGCACTGAAGAGAGACACTGAAGGCGTTCTCGCGGCTGTCGAGGGAAAAACGCGACAATTTAGCGCAACAGTAAATAATCTGGTGCAACGGCGTGCAGGGTACCGTGTCCGTATCCACTCACGTTCTATAAAAAAAGAAATGAGAAAGGAAAAAGGAAACGTAGACCTGAACAAGAAAGAAAAAGAAAGAATGAGTCGCAGCTAGACGAGACGAAAAAAGAAGCACGGACACGGTCAATGGTGCGCGGCTCGCCCTTCGCTGCCTCACTGACTGGGGCGACAGATTTACCAGAGCAGAAATAAGAAATCTCCTCTCCGACTAGTAGCGTAGCCTTTAGAACTTGGACCCCCGTCTGCTTCATGTATATGTTTTGTCTTACTGTATATGCATATGTTACACACACGAATTAACATAGAGTGCGTATCTCATGGTCGAATGCGTGTGCGTGAAAGGACGCACCCACCTACTCGTTTTAAGCAAGCATGATCGTGCATACACTCGTTGCAACGAGAGTGAATAGGAAAGAAGTGAAGATTATAGACGAATAAGCAAGATAGAAGGCAGAGAGAAACGTTTAAATCTGAGAAAAGAAGATTAAAAGAGGATAGATAGTAAAAATGAAAGAGAAATATATAAAAAGACATGAAAAGAAAAGGGATGAAAGATGAGAGGGCTGCAAGTGGTCGGTCGACCAATCGGTGGCTGCTCACACTAAAGCTTCGCGCATACTTCTGCGCATCCGTGTGATCGAATATCGAGTACTTTCGTATAGTTACACTCTTTTACTGTTGTATATGTGCCAGTATTCTGCTGCGCACGCTCGACCAAACACGGTCAACAATCACGATGGAACTAGGAGGGAAAGTTAGCCACGCTTAAGAGGCGGAGTCACATTCACACGGACCATTGGCGAGAGCAGTGCACCGTGAGCAACTCTGGTTTACGCCTCTTCATTGTATATTCTAGTGTCAAGCGTTTATTATCTTATTCTATTTTCCACGTATAGACTCGAAACATACTTATTTACATACACATACTCTTTTGATTATATTATATTTCTTTCTTACTCGTGAATTATAGAATCTTTTTTGATTAGATGTATTATCAGATCAGAATTATAATTATGATGGAAAATTAAAATATACTCTTGAAATATAGTAACTTTATTTATTTGTATCATGAATTTTTAATTCATTAAATTCATTAAAATTATAATTTTCGTAATCAAATGATATCAAAAGATATAAAAAATATAAAAAAAAATAATTTCGTAAAATAAATTCTAATTCAAAAATCTCTGTGAATAATACTTACTGTTCTACTTTATATTGTGGTGACATCTATACTTGGTTCAATGAAACATATTCTTCTATATCGAAAATTACGATATATCGATTGTATATACGTTCTTTAAACTATGAAAATTTGGTTGCCTTTAGTCGTAAGAGAATCAATCGAAGTGGTGTTTGTTTAAGGTTAAGTTTTGTAAAAAAAAAAAAATTAATATCAGCAATCAAATATAAATATAAATATTTTATATTAATATAATTCATTAATAAATATAAGTTAAGGTACTAAATTATTTCAATAAAAAAATATAATAATGTAATAATATAATATTATAAATATTGAAAGATACTGTACTTGTAAAATGATCCAAACATAATCTAAACATTAAAAAGAATAGTGAAATTCTTAAGTTTTTATTTTATATATTATTGATTATATATAATTATTTTGAGTAATAAAAATTTTATTAATAAAATGCATGAAAATTCATATTTTAAAATATAAATATAATTTGGATATTGAAAATAGTAATGTTTATTTTTCTTTGACATTATATATGTCACTTTCTATAATGATTTTAAATAATCTCACATAAATTTTAATAAATATATTAGGAGAGAATTATATATTAAGAAAAAAGATATTTCTCTAATTTATTATAATGGATGATGTATATAGACTTTATAATAAGACTGCATCACCAAAAGTAGATATAAAAGAATATTTTGATAATTATAAAAAACTAGTAGCTGATTATTTTATATCTATGAAAAAAGATAAAGATAATTTTATGTCAATGATGGGAGTTGAACTTGCAGAAGAAGAATTATCTATGTTAACAAATTATTGCAGGTTTTCTATCATTTTTAAATTAAATTTTTTTAAATTATTCTGTAATTTAAAAAAATTTCTAACATTAAAGATTATTTTTAGCATTGATAATTTAACAGTGGAAGGAGAAGCTCCAAAATTAGCCAATATTAGAAAAATGAGGAAAAAAGATATATTCGATGCTCAAGAACCAGAAGATGTAGAGTTACAAACAATTCAAAAACTAAGACAAAGATTAAAACAACAAACTAAACGACTTCAATATAAATACCAAAGTGAATTATTTATAGTAAGTATTTAATTTAAAATGAAAAGATTATATATTTCATATATAATTTTTATTTTTTAGAATCATACCAAAAAGGAAGGAACATATGAAACATGTGCTGTTCCTGGCCAGGATATTCTTGTCTTTGTTAGAATATATCATCCTTTTGCACAAAAAGCAAGAAATGCACCAAGAAAAGAATGTGGGTCATTACGTAGATTAAATAATGTTATAGCTGTTCTAGGCTCCCAAACACTTGCTCAATTAAGAGATAAAATATCTTGCATTGCTGATTACAGTATTTCTAAAGAATGTAGTGAGAATTTGGATAATGCAGTAGGACCTATGGCAAAAGTAACTTATTTTATATTTAATACATTAATTGTTTCTATATATTTATAATTTAAAATATTTTTTATTATATTAGGAGTATTACAAATCAGGATTCTTTTTTATCGAAGACACTTTTTATAATGATATGAGATGTCCAACAAATATTGATTACAGTGCAGTAATTATTGATTGGGCACAAAGAAGACCAAGATTAGGACCTTTCAAAATTGCTACAATGGAAGATTGTAGAATAGATTCATTATGCTTGAGATTTGGTTTTCCATGGGTATATAAGCATCAAGGTGGTTGTGAACATTTAATTGTGTTTAGTGATGCTAGGTAATTTAAGCATTATATATAAACTATTTTTTTTAAATAAAATTACTTATTTTTACATAAGGTATTTTTACGTTATTTTTTTATTATCACTTATAGGTTGATTAACTGCAATGATGAATTGGCAATATCTGCATATCCACAAATAGTCAGATTAAGACCTATGTCTTCCAAATTTTGCATGATATGTGGTGTATACAATGCACAATGGATTACTATGAAACATGAAAGAATACCACATAATCCTTGTTATTTCTGTGATAGCTGTTTTAAGTCTTACAATTATATTGATGGTAAAAAAGTAGGGAATTTCGAAGCATACGCATATCCACGGAATATTGAAGCCGTAAAAGGAAAAATAGATATATGAATGTATCAAATTCTATTTTTTATATTAAAAAATAAGTTACTTTATTGAAGATTTCAGAGAATATAATTTTCTCAAATTTTCATTTGCATTATTTAGTTTTGGTTTAATTTCTAATGCTCTTTTGTACATATTTTCTGCTTCATCAAATTTATTCCATCTGTGATACAATACACCTAGATTCGTATAAAACATTGCATCTTTAGGATTTCTTGATATTGCATTTTTAAAATATACTTCAGCCTCTACAAAATTTCCTACTTTTCCTAATATATTTGCAATATTAAAATAAATAGATGCGTCATTTGGTAAATATTGTAAAGCTTGATTTGCTATTTTAAGTGCATCTTCACGCATACCTATAAAAAGATATTTATTTATATATAAAATATATAATATTAAAATGGAAATAATTTTTTAATATACCTAAATCATCAAGAAGTAATATCATATTGGTCCATGCTCTCCTATGTGTATTTCTTTGCTTAATAGCAGAATCCCAAGCTTTTAATGCTTTATCATAATTTTTCTGTTCTAAATACTACAAATATATTTATTTAGAAATTATGTACATTTTTTTTTTTAAATTTAAGTTATTATCCTTTTATTACTAACCAACACACCCAAATTATAAAGACAATCAGGATATTTGTTTCTATGAGTCAAAGCAGTTAAATAACTTTTCTCCGATTCTTCGTATCTTTTTAATGCTGACAAAACAATACCTAAGTTCATCCAAGCAGTGGCAAAATCTTCCCTAAAAATTTACAACTTGTAATTCTAAATAGAAAAATTCTGACAGAAGTAAAATTTTTCATTACTCAGAATTTTAAATAATTAGATATAATAAAACTTACTGCAATTCAATAGCTCGTTTAAACAATATCTCTGCTTCTAAATATTTTTCTTGATCTTTAAGTAAATTTCCGAGATTATTCATAGCTTGAGCATATGTAGGATTTAATCTACTTAATAGATATAAAAATCATTATTTTGCTCTAGATTTTATTTCTATAAAGTTATTACCTTAAAGCTTCCTGATATTCATATTGTGCTAATATAGAATTTCCAGCATCAGCAGCATTTTTTGCAATATTATAATGCACTTTT